TTTAGGATTTTATTTTTCTAAATAATCTCTACCCCTAATGTGGGGCTTGAACCCATGACCCTGAGATCAAGAGGAGCAAGCTTGGGGTTCCTGGGTGGCTCCGTTGGTTGAGCATCTGACTCTTGATTTCAGCTCAGGTCATGGTCTCACTGTGGGTTCGAGCCACATATCAGGCTCTATGATGGCGGTGCAGGGCCTGCTTGGGATTCTCTCTCTGCCTCTCTGCCGCTTGCACACTCTCCTTCTCTCTCTCAAAAAAAGGGAAAAAAAAGAGTAGCAAGCTCTACCAACTGAGCCAGGCAGGCCCCCTCCCTCTGTCTTTTAAATGTGTATCTCTCCTCTACCCTGGGCTCTCCTTAAGGGCCAGGCCCGATCTGGTTCATCACTAGGCCTTCAGCACCCAGGCCCAGGCTGGCCTGGTACAGGCACTCAGGAAGCATTGAGCTGGGCTGGTGTCACCACTGCTGTGATAGGGACTTTGGGGATTAGACAGGCAGGACCAGGGTCTCCCAGCTGTATGGCAAGCCACTTAGAGCCTCAGGTTCCTCATCTATAAAATGGGTATGACAATCCTGACATCTCAGGGTTGTGAGGATTCAAAAGAAGCTTCTCTTATGTGTGTAATGTGCCAGCATGTGGAAACTGTTGGGTGAGTGGTGCGCCCCTTCCCTGGTGTGATCTTGGGCCTGGGCTTAGCAACTGCCTCTGTGAGCAGCAAGCCCCCTCAGGCCCTCCAGGGAAGGAAAATGTGTGTCCTTTAGTGAACCTGGGCCAGGATTCCTGCCCTGAGGGGCCCCCAGGGGTGAAGGGAGGAGGTAGCAGACTCCCTAATTCACTGGCTGTGTGACCCACGGCAGGTGCTCACACCTCTCTGAGCCTCAGCTTCCTGATCTGGAACGGGAGCTAAGCCTAAAACTCAGCCTAAAACTCAGAATAACATGGACAAATAACATGGACTCAGAATAACATGGACAAAACATGTGCCAGCCTAAAACTCAGAATAACATGGACAAAAAGCCAAGTTCTTGGTAGGTGCTTGATTATTTGTGTACCCAAAGCCATCTCCTGCCCTTCTGATTCCTCTTGTGATTTGGGGTGTGTGTATCTAGGGAGATCCCTTAGACAGGGCCATGACCATTCTAGGCTGTGAGGAGGAGCCTTCCCGTTCTAAGTGATTACCTGCGGGTCTGGGCTGGGCACCTGCAGTCTGGGTGAGGTGCTAGGACTCTGGGCAGCTCTGGACACTCAGGAGGATCCAAGTCCTCATGATTAGCCAGCCCTTTAGGACATGCCTGTGGAGTCCTCCAAATGGAGACCAGTGCGGCCTGGGAGGACAGAGGCTTATCCTTCAGTCCCCACCCAGATTCTCACTCATGCATTCATTCATACTTCCAATGCTGTATTTACAGAATGTTGCACAGAGCCTGGTACATAATAGGTGCTCATTAGATATATGTTAGGAGAACAATTTTATCCCACAAATTCAACAAACATTTATTGAGTGCTTACTGCACTTAGCCCTGTGCTAAGAGATGGTGGTATAGATAGTGCCCATAAATCATTGGTCCTGGGTCCCCTCCCAAGAGCGCCGGGGGGGGGGGGCTCTAAATCTTCCCAACTCTTGCCACCCCCTACCCCGCTCCCACTCCAGGCATCAAGACTTTTCCCTGAATCTGGTAATGCCCAAGCACCCCATGCATCATGGGGCCTGGGAAGGCTGCACCTCCACAGGCACGACTCTCCAAATCCTCCCTGCCTTTCACGCTCTCCTCCAACCACTTTCCCCCTCCCTCTGAAACCCTTAGACACAGCCATCACCCCCCTCCCAGTGCCCTACATCTACCCGGGGTTATACCTGGAGAGGCCAGCAGGTGGCGCTGAGACCCCCCCCCCCCGCTGCGCTAGACTGGACTCCAGACCCCACCAGGACCCTCTCCCTTCTCGCCTTTTCTCCCCATCAGGGACAGGAGAAAACTCTGTGACCTCTAACTGACCCCTCTCCTTCCTGCTGGCTCCTGCGATGAGGCCTAAGGAGACTCCAGCTGCTCCTGCAGGCCCCGGGTTGTCTTTTCCTGCCTGGTGGGTGAGGGGGGTCCCCAGGGGCCAAGCTGCAGCTGGTGGGGCGGCGCCAGGCGGGGTGGGGCAGAAGCAGCTGCTGGGGGGAGAGAGAGGAGAGAAGAGAGGAGAAAGGAGATAGAGGTGCTTTGGTTCCTTGGCTCCTGCCCCAAACAGGTGGAGGTCCCAACCGAAGCTCACCCCAGCGCAAGGTATGTGGCTGAGGAAGCAGATGGGGCTGGGGGGTTTCAGTCTGCCAAGCAGAGCAAGTCTGGCGGTACTGATGGGCTGGCCAGTTCAGTTAGCTCTCAGTAAGAATCCCTGAGCCCTCTCCTATCCTGGTGGCCCACAGAAACTTGAGGGTCAGCAAGGAGTCCTGGGGTGGGCATTAGGAGAGGAAAGTTCCATTGCTCCTCCTGACCCACTGTGTGAATTTCGGGGAGCTCTTTCCATCTCTGGACCTCAGTTTGTCCATCTAAAATGGTGGGTGGAGGGAGATTTCGAAGACCTTCTGTGGGATAACTGCAAAGTGGCCCTTTTCAAAAAAGGATTAGCTCTTCCCCTGGAGCCTGGGGGAAGACCAGAAGGTCTTTAAGACCCAAAGGAATGCCCCCCAATGGTGGAATTTCGGAGTGGTGGAGAGAGACTCATTTGGAGATGTGGGACCCCCTCCATGTCGAGGGGCCTAGGGTCTTGGTCTATGCCGCCCCCCTCAACCTTGTTTCTCTGATTGGGACTCAGGGTGGAGAGTGCCACAAGGTGGGGGGCTTCCCTCGAGGCCTGCTGTTCCAGAGGTCCCCTTGTTAGGGAGAGGGTAGCAGGTGCAGGGCAAAGGCAGCTCTCTGCCTCTTCAGGAAAAGAAAAGGGGTAGATTGGGCAGAAGAGAGCGGGAGGCATATGGGTGTCCCCAGGGTGGTGAGGAAGGAGCCATCCATGCCCTTTGTTAACTGTGGTTACTTGCCAAGTCTCCAAAGCCCCCTGCACTTTAGAGTCATTAGCTCACTCACTGCTCACAGCACTCAGCCAGGCTAGAATGGTGGGGGAGGGGGCTGGAGCTACTTTTCCCTCACCCGCTCTTGGGAAGAGATTGTTCCAGATTGTTCTCTGGCTGGGGAGGAGCTAGCACAGGCAAGTTGTAGGATCGCAGGGATGGTAGGGTGGGTGAGTTCACTCCGGGTGGGGAGACAATCGAGTCAAGCACACGTGTGGGAGTCAGATCAGCCTGTGTTCAAATTCTGGCTCTGCTGTGAGTCCTGGGGCAAGTCAAGTGACCCCTCTGAGCTGCAGTCTCCTGTGCAAAACGGGGGCCGCAGAGCACTCCTTAAGGGGTTCAGTGAGAAGCAAGGGGCATCGCGCAAGTCAAGCCCTCGGCACAGTGTCTGGCACCTAGTAGGTGCGGACTGTTACTCTCATGGAGATCAAAAATGGAGGTCCAAAGAAGGGGGAAAGACTGGCCGGCCGGGGTCACAGAGCTAGGTCTCCAGTGAGTCGGAGCACCCTCTTCTCCGCCACGGTGAAACGCTGAGCACCTACTGAATGCACCCCAGCGCCTACTAGGCACTCTATGGCCCCCCAGTCCCTGTTGTGACACTCCCCTCGGCTCACGTCTGTCCAGGCCTGCGAGGCCTCCGGTCTGGGGTGAGGGATGGGGACCCCCAGGCCG